GCCTTGTAAATACATCCCCCCCGCCCCGTGTAAAATTCAGCCTGGATAGACACCTACTTGCTTCGAAAGTTATCCATGTTGCTCAGGACCTTTGTCAGCTCCAGCTCAAGATTCTCCTGCTCGTAGTTGAGCTCCTTCATCTCTTGGTTCATTTTGCTCATGTACTGGTCGTAGATGTCCTTGATGTCCGACTCGGAATGGGAATTGTCTTGATCCTTCAGGAAGTTCCACCTCGTCGTCAGGACCTTGTTCTGTTGCTCCAAGGACTGGACCTGCAGAAGAGGTTTCAGAGACATCAGTTAACACCGAAAGCCCCGATCGCAGCTGGCTGCTCCTGGCAGGGCAAGGAGACCTTTGGAGTGGTGAGAAGCTGCTGGAATCAGCAGAGATGTCCAGATTCCAGTTAAGAATGAGAAATCCCCTGAAGATCAGGCCTGAGGGTGAAGGGTTATAGGGACTTTCAGAGGTTTTACACATTGCCTACTTATTAATTTCTTGCTAGAAACTAATTCTCGCATCAGTTCTCACATTGACATTATTTTTCACATCAAAAATGAGTGAGTATCTCTTAAGTCACTGAACAATAACAGCCGTTCAATGCTGGGCCCCCTTGCCTCCAAACATATTGAAGTAAAAGCTGAAATTCCACCGCAGGATGTGTCCAGGGTGAATGGAAATCTGATTGACTGCCTCGGAGTGGCATGAAGAAAAGTAGCTCCTTTCGCATCATGGCGAAGTTTAAGGAATGAATCAGAGTCCTGGTTTGTATTGCAAAGCGCTGTAGACAAGGCCTATGGGAACTCTTGAGAATAAGAGAAAAAATAATTACAGACTCCCCGTGAGGTCTGTGTGTGCCTGTCTGCTCCCGAGAGGATACGCTGCACGTTCAGCCACCCACCGTCTGATGAATCTGCCGCTCTCCTTTCCTAATATTCACAATCTGAGCAGGAGCACTCAGTGTTTAACAGTTTTCATCTTCAAAGCTCTTGTCTAACTTCAATTAATTATCTAATTGCTACCTCTCTCTCTTATTGCGCTGTGAACAAAACCAAACTCCTTCAGTCACGTTTTGGCTGGGGATTTTTAGGAGTTGCCTCCGACGGCGTCCTCCCCTGTGTCCTGGAGATGATTCCAACGCTGACACCGTGCCCGGCGTGGGGTGAGCAGTGGCTGCAGGTGCCATCGGGCCTTGACCTGCTTTGACTTCAGCTTTCTGTGGTCCCACACAGCATCGGTGCCTTGAGGAGAGGGAGTTCCCGGGTGTTGAGCACTGTACAGATGCACATGGGCAGAGACAGCTTTTTTGGGGGGAAGAAACTCAGTCTGAGCAGAAAGAAACAGGAAGGGAGGGTGGCCAAGAGAAGGATGAGCCCTCAGATGCTTATGGGCATCAGCTGAAGGGGGGCAAGTGTTGGGATCTTGAAGATCTCGCTGTTGGAGACCTTCTTCCCAATATCTTAACCCATGGCCATGGACATCCCACCAGTAATTCCAGGCTGCTGGAATTGTCCTGGTGCACAACCAGAGCGGCACACTCTGCGTGCACACGTGAGGCTGAGAACCAGATGCTGCTGCAGCGGAGCCACAAAGGGACATTGCAAGGGGCACAAGTAAGTGGCCTCTGGGGCCACCAGGAGCCAAATGGGCCATTTGCTCCCTCCATCTGAGGCACCTCAGGGATGGTGACAGAGCATCCTACAGCGGGGATCAGCCTGTGGGATTGGCTGTAGGGAACAGCCTCTTGTTTTAAGGAGCTTCTCTGCTGCTGGGATGGTAAATGGATGGATTGAACGTGTTGGCTCTGGTTCTAAGTCCATCTTGGACCCTCAAATCAAGTCTCAGTTCCTGATCTTGCTCCTAATCCTTCCTTGCTCTTTTTCCCCTCACTAACTCCAGTTTCTTTCCTGTTCCCAAGCCGTGCCCATCCTCTGGGCTGAACCCTTTACACCTTGGTTTCTCATACAGTGTCCTTCTGAGCAGAAGTTCTTCCTTGCAGAGTCTTTTAACGTGAGTTTTGCAGCAGAAGGATCACCCAGATCTGGCCAAGCTTCCTGGAAAATCATGCCTGAACACAGAAGTGACTAAAGCTTGGTCCTCAGAGGCCTCTAGTCCTGCTGAGGCCAAAGGTAGGGCTTCAAACACGAGCTCCATCACTTGGAGCTTGCTCCCTGGCTTCCACCTGGCTGGACAATAAATACCAGGAGATCTGGAACAGCCTGCTGGAAAACCATCAGCAGCAAACTCCCAAAGTTACTGTGGTCAATTACCTGAGGAATGAGCCACTCAGGCTTGAGACCATCTGAATTCCTGATTAAAAAGCCAAGTTCTCTTTGACAAGGAAGTGTCATTACCTCCCTCTGGAATGATGGCCTGAGGCAGATGGCTGAAGTTTGCCACTTGATGGACCACTTGAGGTTACAGCCTTCAAAGCCAAACACACGAGCAGCCAGCACTAAAAGTCAAAGCCACCCATCAAAGGTGGGATGTTTGTATCTTCTGTCCATCCATTGGGCCCTCTAGAGCCCACGTATCAGCAGCCACCAGACTGGGAGTATTGGGAAACCTGGAACAAGATGGACTTCCATCTCTCTTTGCATGGCCCAGGCTGGTGCCTGGGGTCTGGCTCACACGTTGTCACTGCGTGGTCCTGTCCCATCTCAAAACCCCAAACCCCAGCTTCTCCACCTAGGTGGTCAAAGGACCAGTCCCGCAGCACAACCCACCTGGGTGATTTCCAAACCAGGGGTTCTCCAGATTGACGTGGCCGAGAACCCAGCCGTGAAGGCTGCCACATCCCCCCAGCCCCCGGTACCACCGCACGCACGTTTGCACACGTAGGTGTGGCTGGTTCACGACTGTTCACTTTGGATAGATGCTACGGGAGATGCTTCTGCTTCCCCCACCCTTCTCCTTCCCAGTGTGAATTCAGGTCCTCTTTAGAGGTAGAGTGGAAACAACAACAAAAAAAAATAAAATCCCAAGCCCTGGTAGGTTGGCAGCAGGCGCCGGTGCCGCAGCGTGGAGTGAAGCAATCCTCCTCTCCTAGGAGATTACCATCTGTTTACAGAGCACCAGGGCTTTGCAGAAACCTGCCTCGGCTGGATGAGTTGTTTTTCCTTTGAGAAAAAAAAAAAAAAAAAAAGGGGGAAAAAAAAGAAAAAGCCTCGGATCAGCATGACACACCAGAAGCGTCCTCATCGCGCTGCAT